ATAGGAATAGGAATGTTTTTCTTTGTGTCATTATTATTACTGTTTGTGTGTGTTTTGATACAGTGTCTCAAAAAAGTGATGGGACACTTGTGCTTTACAAAAGGAAACTGCGATAAAATAAATTTTTAAAAAAATGTAAAATTTTTTGTGGGTGTGTTTCATACTTAAATTTAGTAACAATTATTACATAACATACATTTTCTCTCAAATATTAAAATATTAATTTAATAAAAATACAATTGTTTAGAACGGAGCAGAAAATGGCTCACTTAAGTGATGGGACACTACGTACTATGCAACAAAAAAATCGTCTGAAGTAAGCAATAAAAATATCTTTTGGGTATTTATTTTTACTTACTCAAAGCAATTGCCAATAATTTATAAAATCGTCTGCAGTATTTCTCTCCAGTTTGTTTTGGATTTTTTTTTTTGTTTTTCAGCTCTGTGCAGCCATGAATGTTAAACGAAAAGAAACTTTGCCTGGAATTCGAATATTAGTTATTAATTTGCATATTGAACGTGAAAAATCTATTAGAGAAACTACTGAAACAGTTAACTTCAGTCATTAAACAGTTTTCAATATCATTAAACGATATAAAAAGAATCATATGATTCAGGATAAAAAAAGACCTGGCCGACCATCAAAGCTATCCAATGGAATAAAGCGAATTATCGTTCGAAATATTTAAAAAAATCCAAGAATGAGTGCTCCTAAAGTTGCTGCTGATTTACAAGCATTATATGGAGTAATTGTTAATTCTGAGACTATTAGAAGAGTAATTCGATCTACTGGATATCACGGTAGAGCAGCCAGGAAAAAATTCTTCGTAAGTGAAAAGAATAGAAAACTCAGACTGGCTTTCGCAAAATGCAACATAAATAAGAATTCTGATTACTGGAATGAAGTTACATTTGCTGATGAGAGTAAATTTAATATATTTGGTTCTGACGGTAGAATCTTGGTGTGGAGAAAACCCAGGGAAGAATTTCGCAAACAGAACTTGGTGCCAACACTAAAACATGGTGGAGGAGGAGTTATGGTATAGGGGTGTATGTCGTCCGCTGGAGTCGGTAATCTTGTTTTTATTGACAGTATAATGGATCAGTACAAGTATATTGACATTTTAAATCAAAATTTGAAATCTTCAGCACGAAAATTGAACCTTCATAACGATTTTAAATTTTACCAGGACAATGACCCCAAGCACAGTGCTTTGAACGTTATACTCTGGCTGCTGTATAACTGTCCTGAAATAATAAAAACACTTCCACAATCTCCACAATTAAATCCCATAGAGAATATTTGGCAAGAATTGGAATCAAGAATTCGCAAACACACCATTTCTTCAAAACAACAATTAAAATCGGTGCTTCAAGATTAATGGGGTAAAATCACTCCAGAAATCCCAAAAAGATTAGTCGAATCCATCCCAAGAAGATTAAATCATGTTTTAAAAGTAAAAGGAAATCCAACAAAATATTAAAACCTTTTAAAAAGTAAAATTTTTTGGATAAATATTTGATGGAAAAGTAAATGCCCCATCACTTACGTGAGTATCCCAATCACTTAAGTGAGCCATTTTTTGCTCCGTTCTAAACAATTGTATTTTTATTAAATTAATATTTTAATATTTTGAGAAAATGTATGTTATGTAATAATTGTTACTAAATTTAAGTATGAAACACACCCACAAAAAATTTTACATTTTTTTAAAAATTTATTTTATCGCAGTTTCCTTTTGTAAAGCACAAGTGTCCCATCACTTTTTTGAGACACTGTAAATATTTAACAAATGGAATTCCAAAATTAGAAAAAAAAATTTTGTTAAAAAAGCTTTTCATTTTGGCTAAAAAAAATTCGCTGCTTTCAGATCTCGCATGCAATTTTAATTTGAGACCACTGTTTTAATAATCGATTGTGTAGTTGAAAAGTATTCGTATTTATACTACAGCATTGTAATTGCTGCAATTTCTTGGAAGTTTCTATATTGGGGTAAGTTATCGCTTGCACTTAAAAAAAAAAAAAAAAAAAAAAAAAAAAAAAAAAAATCTGAAATGTTTCAGATTTTAAATTACGTCCAAAGGGGCGTTTTTTAACATTTTGTGTGTTACCTTTCTTTATTAAATACATGTTCCTCGCACTTAAACTATAAGATCCAGTGCAACAGCAATATCGCAAAATAGTTTTAAAACGAGCATATCTTTAGAATTTCCGATACAGAGACTCACGCGCTGGAGATAAAAATGTTTTTTTCTGCACAACGTTGCCATTGCTCGCTTTGAAATCCTTGAGTTTGTTAATCAAAAATTCGTCAAAGTTTTAAAAAATAGGAAATCGATCATAAAACAAATTTCAAATTTCAAATTTGGTCTTCCACATGCTCATATTCGTTGGAGGATTACGTTATTCAAAATTCGATGACTCTATGTACCGTTATTTTATGACAATGTGAGAAATATACATACATTTACGCAGATTTTCATTATTTAATTTCTTCAAATATAATGCAGGACTCTAACATTTTATGGCAACAGTTTGAAAAGTGAACCAACATTTATCCGTCCGACGCAAAATGCCAAAACGAAACTAATAGTCCTTCGGGATTCAAATCCCTTTGGACTAATAATAATAAAGAGAGAGAGAACGATAAATGGAGTGGTATTATGGTAACCGGAATCATCGAACGACATTCGATTACCTTGATAGCAAAAGATAACCTTCTGTCAGCAAAAGATAACCTTCTGTCAAGTGTTGCCAAATTCAGTAATCTTCGTTTTCCTTCGATGAAGTTCGCGCACCCTCAGTCCCTTCCTCAGAATCGCTTCAACGGCATTCGATTTTCGTCAGCACTTTGAATGCAGACGGAAAGTACAGTTAAATTCCGATTAACCACTACTGGTGTTACCTGTTTCTGCCTAAGTTGCTCTGTATTATTTTTAAAGATATTAAGTAATCACGTATGTATGTATATTCCCCATACCGTGAAAAACGACAGTACCTAGAGCCATCAAATTTTAAATAATGTTTTCCTCCACTTGAACATATGCACCTGGAAGCCCGAATTTGTTTTATTATTTATTTCATATTTTGCAAAACTTTGATCAATCAGTATTAGCTCTGGACCTGAAGGTATGTAACAAACTCAACGATTTGAAAGCAAGCAGTAGCAACACTATTCTAAAAATAAATAAAACATTTTTATCTCCCTTGCACGAGACTGCTGCCGTTTGGAAAAACGTAATTATTTACCTTTTACGAAATAATTAACAGACTCTGCTCTATGAATGAAATATGTTGCCGCGACCAGAAATAAAATATTTTTTTCTTTATGCGCCAGTATTTCGCCATTCAGTGAAGTCTTTCAAATTTAATCTGGAAGTTTACTGGATAAAAAATAAGCAAATTAAAAACAATAAACACAGTTCATAAGAAAATTTTTTTCTACTTTTTAATTTGATTGATGTAAATAACCATGCATTAAAATCAAAAGATGTCTAATTAGAAATATTCGCTATCTTATGAAGTTACACTAGACTCATTAAAATTATTATACATTTTTTATTTATAATAATAATTATTTTACGTGGCTGGCCATGCGAGCGGCTAGTTTTTAAAGAAATAATGTAGTGAATATTAAAATATGTATAGGAGCTTTTAACACTCTATAGAGAGCTCTAAAGATATGCTGTTTTCAAATATTTTGTGATTTTGCTGTTAAATTGAATGTTATATGCTTTTTAATTAGTTGTAATTTTGTGAACCGAATTCGCATTTAAGTGCGAAGAACGTGATGTTAAATAAATAAAGTTAACAGATAAAAAGACAAAATAAATGTTTTTTAACCATCTTACTAAGGAAAGTGAATATTGATATGAAGACTGCAAAAAATCTAAAAATGTATGCCAATGCTTAACACTGCATCCGGAATTCTAAACATATACTACTGTGCAGTTTTTAAAAAAATTTTGCGATTTTATTGTTGAACTATATATGGCATAAGTACGTTAGCGGTCATGAGTGCAAGAGCAGACTGGTAGACTGCGAGTTCAAAAAAAGCGACAGCGTAAAAACTTTTAACAAACCTTTTTGGGAAAACGTTAAAATCTGAAACTGTTCTGTCTTTTTCTTTTCAATTAAAATTTTATTTTATGTAAAAGTTGAATAACATATAATTTAATTCTTATTCAATAAAAACTTTGTTTAATACATTTGAAATAAATACTAAAAACGAATATCATTATTTCCAAGTGTCTTTTATGTTATTTCTATGGTATCGACAAATCTAAGTTCATTATGTCACAGTCACACTTCATCATTCCTCACGATATTTAGATATCAGTAAATAACGCTCGTTCAACTGCAACAATATATTACGGTTCGTATATGCAACAATATACTATATTTATTGCTGCAACACTGTGGGTTTCAAGTAAAGTACCATTTCCGGTTGTCCATTGAAAACTCTTATGGGCTTCAAAACCAATTTTACTTAAGATGTAATGAACTATTTACATGAATGCAGAAATCGTAAATACGGAAAACAAAAATTTTGGAAAGTTTGATACAAGTGTTATCTTGGAAGGGGGAAAAAAAAAAGGTGTCGCAGATACACACAGACAAACATCATTGTTAAGAACTGGTTGGTAGGACTCTAATTTGTGCTTATTAACTGAAAACTCACTATCAAACTTTTGGACTGAAATCATTCCCTCTTTTACCATAGCATAAAATTGCGCCGGAGCCTAGCTCCGATACTTCTATTTTTTTAGGTAAATTGTAATTTTAGCGGGAGCGCAAAGAAGCCCTAAATAAAAGGGCTCTATCACTTCTTTTATGTAAGTGAAACACAACAGACAAATTTTATTTTAATGATAAATATGCATTAAAAATCGATTCTAACATCTGAATGCATACCTATCTTCTCTTGCGGAACAAACACTTTGAAGGAAGTTGAGACTTTTAAAGAAAGACTTTTAACGAATGAAAAGCTCCCACCTCCATGCCAAAGGCTTATTCTCCAAGTAAGTGGAATGATATATGAGAACGGGTAAAATTTTTCTTTCCGGAAAGTACAAACAGTACAACCTTTTGATCATGCATGTCCAGCACTATAGTGACCTCCCATTGCAGAGCTTGATGGCAGATATTTGACCTGTCATTAAATACGGGGACGAAAATTGTAACATGGGTCAAAGAATCTCTAAGGAGATTCTTTGCATGGGCAGACCTTACGTTTGTTTTCATGTTGTCGAATCGGATTCGGGGGAAACTCCCATTCCCTCCCAGTCGCATTCTGCTTGACGGCTAGAATTATATCCGCAGGGCACCGCTGTTAAGGCTCATATCACACGCGTTAGAGAGAGTTGGACTCTTTTTCTCTTTGTTTTTGAAGCTACACTTCTGCGTTTAAATTTCTTTCGATATTCTGATACTGTTCTCTATTCTCATTAGTGACGCTTTAATCGTTTTATCTTTCTCCACTGGTGTGCTGAAAAATGACTGGTTTTTGTTTATCTCATGTCTTGAAATAGTCCGTTATACCGTGTATTCTTAAATTCAGCCGGAAGCCGACTGAGCTATTTTTGAATGAAATTGTAAGTGCAGCCGAAGCCCTAAATAAGGCGAGGTCGGATGTTTTATTTCTTATAATTGTTTGTCATAAACAAAAAAAATTATTTTTTTTTATTTATATCTTTACATTTAAATGAATTTTATTTTAATTATTAGTTATTTTATTTATATAATCTGTATATTTCATTGAATTTTAATTAAATTAATAATTGTTTTTAACCCAGAAGAGCTATTAGTCTTGTAATGGCATTTTGCGTCGAATCACTAAAAGCATTTTGCGTCGAATCACTAAATCACTAAACTATCTATCAGAAATTCTAAAGATATGCTATTTTTTTAAATGTTTTAGCCCAAAGCTCGGGAAATGTGTATGTGTGCGTAAATGGCGAGAGGGGAAAAAAAAAAAAAAAAAAAAAAAAAAACCGTTCGGGGCGTAGTATAAAACCTGAAGACTTTCAGATATTTTATTTTTTATTTATTTATTTATTATTTTTTTTCCTTTTCTTCTTGACTGCCTTCCATAGGGTTCCAGTATTTCGGATTTCAGAAATTAAGTCCTTTACCATGTATACGGGTCTCTTACCATGTATATCCCTTAACTTTCCATTGCAACATATGATTTATTTTAATTTAACAGACTCAATACTTTTTTTTAATTACCTACAAATCACTTATCTAAGAAAAAAAAAAAAAAAGATTACTGCAACGAAATACATGCTAATTTTGTCACTAGATAGCAGCACATTTTTTCCAGAAATCACAACAGTTATAAAAATCTCTGATGCCTCAAGAACTGTGTTTTTGCTATAAAAAAGACTCCATTATATTTTATGCTTCCTCTTGTTTACTGACGAAAAAAATTACCAGGTAAAAAATTTAAACATTTTATGTTCATTTAAAAGTAATTTTGATTTTCTAATGAAAAAAGTTTGAAAGAAATTTGATTTTAATTATATGTTGCAGTTCTGCAACATTGTTCTTAGGTAACCATTTTGACATGGCCGAAAAGCTTATACTAACCCAAGATGAAATTGCTAGATATATGAATAATTTGGACAACTTAAGTGATTTAAGTGAGGATGGTCTTTAATATTCTGCTGATGATGTTCATTTTTTACCTGATTGTGTGTCATCTAATGATTATTCGGATAGCGACTGTGAAAATAGTGTTTCACAAAATACAATTCAGAATGTAAAAAAAAAAAAAAAATCTGATGATGATGATAATAAATTTGATAGAAATATTTCAGTCAGCGTGTGTGATTATGGCAAAGCCTCGAGAACTATCTGCCTACGGGGAGGGATGCCTTCGGGGAGGATTTTCCAAGGGAAACTGGCTTGTATACAAGTTATACATGGGAAAAACCACGAAAACGACCATGCAGCCAGCCCCGTTTGCGGGATTCGAACCTCGGAACGAACTACCAGTGTTCAGCAACTTTACCGCTTGGACGCTGGTATATTTCAGTCAGAGAACCTATTTTAAAATTTAACTGTTAAGAATAATAAAACATTGTCAAAGAATATTTTATGGAAAAATCAAAACATTTCATTGATTGAAGAAGTAATAAAATTCCATGAAGATGACACTAGAGAAATTACGGATTTGGACACTACGTACCAATTTTTTAAATATTTATGGACGGAAGAGATCATAAGTAACATTTATGAAGACAGCAAACGATATGCTATTCAAAAGAATCCAAGTAAGCCTTTGACTATATCAGAGAATGAAATAAATCAATATTTGGGTATTTGCATTTATGCATCTCTAGTTCACCTGCCAAACTATAGAGCATACTGGTCAGAAGAGCTTGGATTTGATCGAATTAAAGAAACAATGCCTTTTAAAAAATTTGAAACTATTAGATAGCATCTCCATTTTAATGCTAATGATGAACATCTACCAAGAGATCATCTTAACCATGATAGGCTACATAAAATTAGACTCCTTGATGATGAGCTAAATAAAAATTTTGCTAAAAGTTCCTTTAGAAAGGCATCTATCGATTGATGAGCAAATATGATCAACTAAAGTAAGACATTATATGAAACAATACCTACAATTAAATCCACATAAATGGGGATTTAAATTTTTTGTACATTGTAGGATATCAGGTTTTGCCTATAAATTAGAGTTATATTCAGACCAACAAAATAATGAAAAGTATAGGCTGAATGGTGAACTAGATTTAGATGCTAGTGCAAATGTCGTAATACGATTAGCAAGAATTATACGTCGTAATAAAAATTACACACTCTACTTTGATAATTGTTATATTTCTATTCCACTTTTAGCATAATTACCTAAAGAAGTGATATATTCTTTAGGAACCGAATTCCTAATTCCAAAATTCCTACTGAAAACATTTTCAATAAAATGGAACAAGGACATTCAATGGAATTTGTTGAGAATTATAATGATGTAGAAATCTCTGTGACAGCATGGAAAGAGAATAAAACTGCAATAATGGCCTCAACATTTGTTGGTGAAAAGCCACTTGGAAAATTATTGAGACATGAAAAGAAAACTAAAGATCGTGTAGAAATTATTAGGCCTCATGCCATTGAAGAATATAACAAACATATGGGAAGTGTTGACTTACTCGATAGTATAATAGCTCGACACAAAATATTAACGAGAAGCAAGAAATGGTATATGAGAATTTTTCTTTCATTTGTTGGATCTAGTTATCGTAAATGCATGGTTACTATACAAGAATGTGGAAACTGATAAGAAATCTGAAAATAAAAAAAAAAAATCTAATGAATTTACAAAAATTCAAATCTGAAGTTGCATCATGCTTATGCAAAATGGGGTACGATCGAAATGCTAAAAGAGGAAGACCTAGTAATACTTCAATAGAACATAAAAGATGACTAAAAGATGCAAAGGGACTGCCCAATCCGTTCCATGTAAGGACATTCTTAGAGATGTTATAAATCATTGGCCAATATGATCAGAAAAGAATTCGGTGCAAGTTTCCAAACTGCAAGAGCTACTGAGTGTGAATAGTGTAAAGAAGGGGACTTTTTACAACAAAGTCAATAACTGCTTTAAAAATTTTCATTGTATGTAAGGCTAAAGCAATTTATAACAATGAATAATAAAATCCTCATATAAGAAAAAGTTTTGTAATTTTACAGCACTACTGCGCAATGTTGCACTTCTGCAACAAACAAAAAAATGACTGAAATTCAATTTAAAACTGCTTAATTATTTTTTTAAATATTATTCCCTTTTATTATTACTTAAGAAGTAGCTGATATAATTTTTTCATAGAAATTTAAAAAATTGGGAAGTTAAGGGATATGGGGTGGCGGAAGGTAAGCTTTTGAGTGAAACGGAAGCCCAGTGAATCTGAAGCAGAGTCAAGTGGCTCTAATAGACAAAGAAAATAGGAGAAGATGGCCTTAGAAACATATTTTACCTGATGATTTTATGAAAGGGGTATTTATCGTTCAGTTAATAACGTGCTGTCCTTTCCTGTTCCTCATCACTTTCCATTTATTGCCCACTTTCTCTTCGTACGAGTACTGAAGAACTTAATTAACTATTAAACTTAAAATTTCGTCTTTTATATCTGTTTTATTTTATGTTTGCTTTTTTTTGTCTTAGATTTAATTATTATTATTTGTGTGTGTGCGCATGTGTTTTGAACTTGTGCGAAAAACATTGTTATAAATTTTAAATAAGCCACCATGTGTGATTCAATTTGCATTAATCTCTATGAGGAAACTAGTTTCGGTTTATAAGCATTTTGAAAGCCGACCGGCCTTCCAGGGAAAGAATTGAATTGAGCCGACGTTTCACTCAACTGGTGACAGGTTTTAGTCTTAAAGTTAAAATCGTTTGTTTAAAGTTACATCACAATGAAAAAGAAAACAGAAATCTTTACATAAAACATTAACTCATTTGTGTATCCAATTAATGATAAGCATTGTCGAAAGTGCGGATGTTTATTACGTGACCCTTCCGTGAAATATGAAATATACAAGTGTTCTTACATCATACCGTTTTCGTCTCAGCGACTTTCATTTGCAAATAAACGCATGGAAAGTTTACATTTATGTTTACGCTTCTTCTGGTCAATGATTGGTACTGCGTCTCAACGTATCCTTCCGTCAACAGTTCGAGAGACAAGAAGCTCTTTCTCATGGCTAAACTTAGTATCATCCTGGCCTTCTTTGTTGCAATCTGTCTCCTAAAGTGCGCCGTTTTACGTTTCTTCAGATAAGGTTGACAAGGCAGTCGCACATACAGTCCATGAATCATCTGGTACTCACTACTTTCAGCTAGCCTCAAATATAGTGACGTCACGTAATCCAGGAGATTGTTGGTGGTCGTTTGCGGTTTTTCAACCTTTGGAATCGCTTTTCTGGGCCATCTTGCGTTTACAGATTGTTTGTGTGGTTAAGATTTCACTACGCCACAGCGATTAACCCTGCGTGTTGACCCATAAGCAGATAAGATGGCTGTAGTAATTGTCTGTTTACTAAACATTGCCGTAACGCAGAATCGATGCGTCTTTTTCTCCTAGCTATGAAACTGTTTATACCAGCACTTCGTCCCAGCTCTTTCACTGTGTTCAAATAGTGTCTTAGTACTAACTGGCGAGAGACATCATGCTGCTGGACGATATGCATGACCGAGAGGATTAACTAATTAATTATACGGGATAAATTAACACTTATCCTGTAAAAATTTCCCACATTGGTTCAGCAGCAAAAATAACAAAGACCGTTTAACCGAAAAGAAATTAATGGTTATTATTTGAAAATTCCGATAAATCGATTTTGATGAGCTTGTATGCATACAGTATAAAATGTATACCTTTCCGGCCGTAACTTTAGAGCCGTGAAGGAAAATTTCATATTCTTTGCCAGAATCTCAGACTTAATTTTCTGGTACCATTTCAGTTAGTAATCAACTTTTTAGTTCAAACTTAGGGAAACTTTAACCGTTCTCGAAGTTTTGTATTTAGAATCAGAATAGGGAAGTAATCAGGAAAATCGAAATTAAGCACACAAAATCGCGCTGACACAAATTGCAGTCAAGTTCTTAAGATTATAATAAAAAGCCGCAGCGGTGACCTTTTCTATATTCCTAACTTTTTTAAAACTAAGTTAAAACGTGATAAATATATAGTGGTTAGTGATGCCTGCTATTTTATCTTTGGATGCGTATACTGTTGTGTCGTTAGACATAATAATGCACGCATCAGTATAAAATAGATGTTTTCGTATAAGGTATATTTTCAATGTCTAAATCTATGTGCACATAAAATGCACCAGGGTAATTTATGTTTAAATATTCGCATCAATGTAAAATTTGTATATGTATCAGAGTAAAATCAATATAAAGCGTTTAAATGTCAGTGCAAAAATGATATGATGATGTATACGCAACTGCGTACACATTCGTGTATCATCTTTCATATCAGTGTATTCTCAGTGTCTAAGATAATTTTATTTATATATGCGCATCAATGTGGACTTTTTTTTTTTTTTTGTCTCTGAGTATCAAATGTTTAAATAGTATCAAATGTTTAAATATCAGTATAAAATGTTCAAATATTAGTGTAACAGTATTACCAGGATACAATATCAGTGTAACAGCATCTTGTATCTCGTATGAAACTAATATTTTATGCCTTGCCCCTGTCCATTGATAACAGTCAAAAGTTTTAATAAACTCGCAACCCCGGGGGCAGATCTCTGCATCAAGAGGGTACTTAAAATACACGAAAAACCGAAAATTCTCTCGAGAGGTTGATGGTAGGGAAAAAGGGAAGTCTGAGATCATCGGACCTCCCTGAGAGGTGTTCTCAAAGTTGGGGCGAAGCTTGACAGTTACAGAGGTTTGGCGATGCTAAATATATATTACAGGAATGTCTTGCTTTAACCTGTACGTGTTATATAGTTGTGTATGGGTTTGAATCTCAAAGAATGCGTGGATGATTGCAATCTATATAGGTGTACACCGATTACGTTTTAATCAAAGCAGGAAGGATGAAAAATCAGCTATGGCCTTGCTGAGATTCGAGTTCTGTGCCTCCAGGTATTCTGCCATCTACACCACGAAAGCACGCGTTGAGGAAAGAGAAAAATTCCTGCTATTCTCCCCCACTTAATCGGCGATTCTGGAGGATGGTAATAAAGTAGCCAGATCCACATGGAGACGAATTATTGTTCAGACGAGCGCCATTTTAGAGCGATTAGGTGTTTATCCGAGCGGGAAACAGGAAAAATTAGGCATGCCCTTGCCGAGACTGGAATTCCGGACATCTCGATTGCTAACCGAATGTGCTACTAGTTACGCTTTGAAGCCATAAAAGTAGAAAATTCATTATATAGTATCTTCGAGCATGCATGCGTAGGATGAATAATTAAGGAAATAAAGCTTGTCGCCGTCTTTTACGGATACCCTGTACATTATTATTTCCCGTTACTCGCATTTTTATTTTCAACCTATTTGGAATTTAATATGAAATGGTTATTAAATATGCAGTTATGATTAGCTACTATGCTTAGTCAAATGTCCAGTTGTGATTAGTCGGATGTACAACAAATGTGAAAATGCTTGTCAATTACCCAACTGTGATTAGCTGTGAAAAATTTGTTTACTTTCCCTTCTGGAACACAGAAATCATATTCCTTGATGCAAAATTTGAACGCTGTTTTAACTTGACCGATATATGCCGAAGCACACTGACAAGACATGATGTTAAAGTGAAAGGATTCGAAGACATTCAATTTACGAGCTGAGGAAGCTTTACGAATAATGTTTGCAGATTCAAGTTGAAAACTGTGTGAAGTGGCTGATTATGATTAGCTATCAAACGTTTATTTTTTCTTTTCGAAAATGCGATTAATTTTCTTTGACGTGAAATTTCAACGTTTTTTTCTGTTTGTCCGATTTATGTCAAACCACATTCACATGATAAGCTAAAACCTACCAAGAATCAAAATCGGAGATGGAATCTTTTAAGAATCAAGCAAAAACTTTTACTCATAAATGAGGAAATGACTTAAAAGTTGAACTTCTGAAGAATCCGAGCAATTTTCTAACTGATATAAGGAAGTGGGATGACGACAAAGTTGTTATGGCTGTCTCTTAAACCACAAAAAATTCAATTCAACAGCAATATCACAAAATATTTAAAAACAGCATACAGTCGCATGGGCTGGAGATCAAAAAAATTTTTTCGTACATTATTGCTATTAAAGTTTTAAAAAATATGAAATAGATAATAAACTAAATTCCAAATTCCAAATTCAGGGTTCCACGTGCCCATGTTCG